CACTGATGACATCATCATCTGGACCCATGGAAAAGAAGCCCTTGAGGAATTCCACCATGATTTCAACAATTTCCATCCCACCATCAACCTCAGCCTGGTCCAGTCCACACAAGAGATCCACTTCCTGGACACTACAGTGCTAATAAACGATGGTAACATAAACACCACCCTATACCGGAAACCTACTGACCGCTATTCCTACCTACATGCCTCCTGTTTTCACCCTGACCACACCACACGATCCATCGTCTACAGCCAAGCTCTGCGATACAACCGCATTTGCTCCAACCCCTCAGACAGAGACAAACACCTACAAGATCTCTATCAAGCATTCTTACAACTACAATACCCACCTGCGGAAGTGAAGAAACAGATTGATAGAGCCAGAAGAGTTCCCAGAAGTCACCTACTACAGGACAGGCCTAACAAAGAAAATAACAGAACGCCACTAGCCGTCACCTTCAGCCCCCAACTAAAACCCCTCCAACGCATTATTAAGGATCTACAACCTATCCTGAAGGATGACCCAACACTCTCACAAATCTTGGGAGACAGGCCAGTCCTTGCCTACAGACAGCCCCCCAACCTGAAGCAAATACTCACCAGCAACCACATACCACACAACAGAACCACTAACCCAGGAACCAATCCTTGCAACAAAGCCTGCTGCCAACCGTGCCCACATATCTATTCAGGGGACACCATCACAGGGCCTAATAACGTCAGCCACACTATCAGAGGCTCATTCACCTGCACATCCACCAATGTGATATATGCCATCATGTGCCAGCAATGCCCCTTTGCCATGTACATTGGTCAAACTGGACAGTCTCTACGTAAAAGAATAAATGGACACAAATCAGATATCAAGAATTCTAACATTCATAAACCAGTCGGAGAACACTTCAATCTCTCTGGTCACGCGATTACAGACATGAAAGTTACAATTCTTCAACAAAAAAACTTCAAATCCAGACTCCAGCGAGAAACTGCTGAATTGGAATTCATTTGCAAATTGGATACAATTAACTTAGGCTTGAATACAGACTGGGAGTGGCTAAGTCATTATGCAAGGTAACCTATTTCCTCTTGTTTTTTTCCTAACACCCGCCCGCCCCCAGACGTTCTTGTTAAACCCTGGATTTGTGCTGGAAATGGCCCACCTTGATTATCATACACATTGTAAGGAGAGTGGTCACTTTAGATAAGCTATTACCAGCAGGAGAGCGGGTTTGTGTGTGTGTTGGGGGCGGGGGGGGAGGGTGAGAAAACCTGGATTTGTGCTGGAAATGGCCCAACTTGATTATCATACACATTGTAAGGAGAGTGGTCACTTTAGATAAGCTATTGCCAGCAGGAGAGCGGGTTTGTGTGTGTGTTGGGGGCGGGGAGGGGAGGGTGAGAAAACCTGGATTTGTGCTGGAAATGGCCCAACTTGATTATCATACACATTGTAAGGAGAGTGATCACTTTAGATAAGTTATTGCCAGCAGGAGAGTGGGGTGGGGGAAGGTATTTTTTCATGCTTTGTGTGTATAAAAGATCTTCTACACTTTCCACAGTATGCATCCGATGAAGTGAGCTGTAGCTCACGAAAGCTTATGCTCAAATAAATTGGTTAGTCTCTAAGGTGCCACAAGTACTCCTTTTCTTTTTGCGAATACTGACTAACACGGCTGTTACTCTGAAACCCGTCCATTACTTTAATCATCTGCTTAGCTGCACCCTTAACAAACTCCTGATTCTTTTTTCTGTCCTGCCGTTCGGCTTCCCAGAACTCCTTGCATTCCCTTTTCTCTGCATTGGAGCAGTGCGGTACCTCCTGGAACATGTCTTCTTTGCTGCATCTTGGGCGCTTTCTTATCTGGCGGAGACACTCGGCTGGGGCATGTGGAGTATTCCTGAAGAGCACATCTTCCGAAGCACAAAGGACAATGCACAGATGCGGGATTTTTAAATTCACTCACAGTATTGAAACATTTCAGTTAAATACAACTTTTGAAACATAACAATCACTTTCTCACTGACTCTTGGCAGGCACATATCTCTCTTCAAACACCCAAAGCATGGTGAGCGTTGGTGGGTGGGGGTGCTTCACATGGGGAAAAGAGCACACACTCTGCAAGGTTCGTGGTGCAGCATGCTAGAGAAACAATTCTAAAATTCTCCCATACTTTTCCACAGGCGAGGGTCATTCTGGCAGATATCTCACTGCTAAGGGTAAGCAGGGAAACAAGTGCACATCTGCTCCATGCTTGTGGCTTCCACCCTGCTCCCTATGCTGCTCACCTATGTGACACTTTGGTCCCTGCACAACTGATTGCCAAATGGTGTGGGAAAGTTTCCTACAATGTGGGAAGGAACAAAGTTGCTCTGCCACTGAATCTTTGGCAGAGGACTACAGAGTACCTCTAGGAAACTTTCCTGGAGCTCTCTCTGGAGGATTCCCGTGAGATCTTTGCATGCATCAACACCCTGTTCCGCTGTACCAATTAGCTACACAGGAAAATGTCCAGCTCACAGAAACAGCCAGCCTTCCACATTTCTATACGCCAAACCCACCTCCGCACTACACAAACCACAACCATTTAACAGGCGTCTCCTCTCCTGCTTCTTGCTCACCGGAGAGCAACTGCTGAGACTGACTAGACACCTCTGGAGTGGAGAACAGTTCCTGGCTGCCTGCCCCACCGGGCAACCCCACTGGGAGCTGCACATCATCGTCTAACTCCACCTCTTCATCAATATCTTCATCCTCCAGGTCAGGCCCTCTTTCCATCGCCTCCAGACCCGCCGAAGTATCCATGGGGCTCTTGATGGTAGAGGTGGGGTCGTCACTGAGGATGGTGTCCAGCTCCTTATAGAACCGGCAGGTCTTAGGTGAAGCACCAGAGTGACAGTTTGCCTCCCTCGCCTTATGGTACGCCTAACTCAACTCCTTTATCTTCATTCTGCACTGCAGCATGTCCCGATCATAGCCCTTTTTGCACAAGCCTTGAGAAATATGCCCGTAGGTATCCCAATTCCTACAGCTCAAGCGAAGCAGTGACTGCACAGCCTCCTCTCCACATATACTGATCAGATCCAACAGCTCCACAGTGGTCTAAGTGGGAGAGTGTTTGGTGCAATAACCCACCATGGTCACCTGGGAAAATGCAATGAGACCTCTCCATGCCGAGCCAGCAGGAAACTGAATTTCAAAAATTCCTGGGGCTTCTAAGGGGGAGGGCGGATGGTTGTTTACATGGCTGCAGAGCAGTGGAATTCAAACTGCCGACCAGAGCGGTCACGATGGGCATAGTGAGACACCTCCTGGAAGCCAATTAAAGTGACGAAATCAAGCGTGGTGTCTGCACTGGCACTTTGTCAAGAAAAATTTAGAGAGAAAAGACGTACATCTCTCGTTGGGGTTGCTGTATTTTGTCGCCAAAACTGGGCATTTTTTCCAACAAAAGTCACATCACAGTGTGTACGCATTCACTATTTGGTTGACAAAAGGCAGTTTCTGTCAACAAAACTTGGTAGTATAGACAAAGCCTAAGAAGGGCGCCCAGAGAAGGAAGCTGAGAAGGAATTTGGGGAAGTACAGGAATGTCTCCTCATTGATTACAGGGGAGGGTTTGCCCAGGACAGATTTGCTGGGTTGGCGTCTATGCTCCCAGGCACCCAACCTGCGGCTCCGGTTTTAAGAGGGAACTGTGTAACTGACCTCCAGGAAGGGAGCAGTGATACAACTGACCTCTTGCAGACAGAGAGAGGGGTGACAGAGGCTACCCCAATCCAGGCCCCACTTTTGCAAAATGCTGTTCTTGATGTACTTGTGGAAACTAACTCTGTCTCTTTAAGACAGGATGGGAATCCTACTAAAGACTTATCGGGTAATTCAGATGGCTCAGGATGAGTGACCTGGTGTCATTACCAACCACCCTTCCTATCTTTAAAATCTTCAGACTATCAGCAATGATTTAATATCTTCCAAGTCACTGACATAAAACATTAAATTGCATCTGTGGGACTCTGTAGAAACACATGCATTTGATGATTTAGACACTTTTTAATCCTTTTAATATGTGGTTTATTGATCTTGTATGATACTAATTTCCTCTTCAAAGTACTTAAGTCAAATGATTTACAGAGGTCACATCATATTAGGTCACAGTTACCCTTGCTGACCAGACTTGTAATCTCAGAAAATAGTGTCAAGTTCATTTGACAGGAATTATTTTCCATATAACCATGCTGGCTGGCATGAACTATACTACCATCCTTCAGGTTCTGTAGAGAAAAAGTCAAGCATCCGTCATTTCATAAATTCATCCAGGATCAGTGTCAGGCTAGCAGGCATACAAGTACCATCTTCTTTACAGATTTTGACTATTAATGAAACACTAGCTTTCTTCCAGTCATCTGGAACTTTCCCAGTATTCCAAGATTTATTAAATCAAATATAATTTGTGCTATTATTTTCCACTATCCATATATTCTGTACCTCTGTACTTGCTACTGGACCTTTAAAATAAATATTTTAACAATTTTTATATATATGAGCCATTTTCTACTGCTGTTTATCAAATTGTTCCATTTCATATAATGTCTTTTTTTCTTGTTAAAAAGATACCTTAGCACATTCTATACAAAAAACTATGTTAAAAGGATGTTAACATTATAATACACACAGAATATTGAGGATAAAAATAAACATTAAACAAGTGCCTCTTTTGTTTTCTGTCATCCAGTCTGCACACTGAGTGAAACAAGGGGCCTGTGAAAATAAGAATAGTCTACCACGCAATTAAAAACTGCATAGCAGTGCATTCACACAAAGGGACGGACACAGGTGCCATTCACTTTGGCATCTTCTAACTTTTGAGTGCTTCACTTTGCAAACTTAATGTACTGTTCTGTACCTAAAAGGGGCTGTTAGCCCCAGGAGCAGAGCAGGAGTCTGTTTAGGCAACAAATTATTAGACAACCAAATGCACATACTAAAAGCTACTCACATAAATCTCATTATCCACATCCAGCTGTACTTCACCTGTGTCAACCAAGTCACTGAGCTCATCAAAGAGGGCAGACTCTAAAGGCAAAGCAAACGAAGTTGTACATCAACATATCCTAAAAGTTAAAGATGGGAGGAGTTTCAAAGAAGCTGAACGGGGAAATTCAATGGCAGTCAAGGTTATCCTAAAGTTTTAAGCTGAAAATTCCAGTCTAGACAGTATTTGTACTACAGTACTGTACCAGCCACAGGAGAGTGGCAGATCAGATGTTCATGTTGTAAACCTCACTCATGCAGGCTCTGTGGATATTAAGGCCCCAATTCAGCAAACACGTCAGTGAGTAAGCTTACTCGCCCAGGCAGCTCCATCAGTATCACACGCAGGAGTGTTTGCAGGACTGGGACAGGAGTTCATAGGATCTCACAAGGAGTCCACATGTCTAACACACCCCACAGGTCCACATCAATCCACCCGGATCCCAATCCCAGGCCGCACGACTAGCCACGCGGCCCTGTCAGCGCCCAGCTAGCCCAGGCTCGGAGACTGGCCCGAGAGGCCCAGCGGCCGCGCCGGGAACAAGAGCCAGCCAGGCCTCTCGCCAGGAGTCCGCGCTGCCTGCCCCACGCCCCTGGGCTGGAGCAGCCAGACCCGGCAGCGGGGACACCGCTGGGCTTTTGCCCCTCCCCGCCAATGCCCCTCACATCTCCCGCCCCACCCGCTCAGGAACACGCTCCGCGCCTCCGGGCCCGGCTCACCCCAGTCGGGTCCGACCCCGGCTGGCCGCAGCCCCGGCTCTGCGGCGCCCCGATCAACCTCCCCGGCTGCCATCTCCCTTCCGGGTCCCCTTAAACACACGTCTCCCAGCGCAGCGCAACGCGCCGCCCTGCTACGGCGGCCGGGAGAGGACATGGGGCCGGGCGGCGTGGGGCCAGCGCCTTGTCTCTGAGCCGGCTGGGACAGAGTCACCCGCAGGAGCGCTCAGAGACCGGCGCGCCTCAGGTGGCTGGGGACAAACACCCCGAGGGCGGGCAACTCTGCATGTGCCCAACGAGGCGGGGGCTCTCGTGGGTCCGGGTTCAGCTCCCCAATGGGGTGGGGGCTCGCACGGGGTCCGGGTTCAGCAGGAGTGCCATTTCGAGGGGACGGGGGGGCAGTTTTAACCCTGATTCCAAAGGCTACTTGGGCACCTAAAAACTTTTATCTTTTTGCAGATAACTTAGATACAGTGCTCCTGTCAGCTAATAATTTCTAATTCCTACATAAAGAAAGAAAATTGAATAAATATTAAACCCACTCATCTTAAAACCTATAAATGGCCCTACTGGGTCAGACCAAAGGTCCATCTAGCCCAGTATCCTATTTTCTGACAGGTTTCAGAGTAACAGCCCTGTTAGTCTGTCTGTGCTGGAAATGGCCCACCTTGATTATCATGCACATTGTAGGGAGAGTGGTCACTTTTGATAAGCTATTACCAGCAGGAGAGTGAGTTTGTGTGTGTGGTTTTTGGAGGGGGGTGAGGGAGTGAGAGAACCTGGATTTGTGCTGGAAATGACCCACCTTGATTATCATACACATTGTGAAGAGAGTGGTCACTTTGGATGGGCTATTACCAGCAGGAGAGTGAGTTTGGGGGGGGGGGGGTGGAGGGTGAGAAAACCTGGATTTGTGCTGGAAATGGCCCAACTTGATGATCACTTTAGATAAGCTATTACCAGCAGGACAGCAGGGTGGGAGGGGGTATTGTTTCATGGTCTCTGTGTGTATATAATGTCTACTGCAGTTTCCACGGTATGCATCCGATGAAGTGAGCTGTAACTCACGAAAGCTCATGCTCAAATAAATTGGTTAGTCTCTAAGGTGCCACAAGTACTCCTTTTCTATTTTCTGACAGTGGCCAGTGGCAGGTGCCCCAGAGGGAATGAACAGAACAGGTAACCATAGAGTGATCCATCCCCTGTCGCCCATTCCTAGCTTCTGGCAGACAGAGGCGAGGGACACCACCCCTGCCCATCCTGGCTAATAGCCACTGATAGACCTATCCTCCATGAACTTATCTAGTTCTTTTTTGAATAACATTTCCTTGTTTACTTTCTCCACACCAGTCATGTTTTTATAGACCTCGATCATATCTCCCTCCTTAGTCATCTCTTTTCCAAGCTGAAAAGTCCTAGTCTTCTTAATCTCTTCTCATATTGAAGCTTTTCCATACCTCTAATCATTTTTGTTGCCCTTAGATATAGAAAATTGATCATACTCACACTCATTGCAGGTTCATACTGGGGAAGAGCATTTATGATCATATTTCTCAGTGCCTCAGTTCCACATGTCAGATACCATCTGCCCCCCAATTAGCCAGTTAACAGAAGGTCACACTCTTCATTGCTTTTGCAGGCCAAGTGGCAGGTAGTGGGAGGGGCAGCAATGCAGTTTAGCCCTGAACTCAGCCAGCAGTCATTCATTCCCTCCACTAACCCTAACCCGGCTCCCTGCCTTGGTCACTCCCCCTTTGACAGTGCCCATTTGATACAGGAGGCCTCTCTGCCTGCAGCACCACAACTACATTTTTCACTGGGCAAAGATAATGATTTCACCAGAGGGAGGCACAGGGAGACTCTTCAGCCTCATGGCAGCTCAGGCTGTATAGTCATGGTTTGAAGCAGCTCCCTCTATTCCAGTCCTGAACCCCCAGACCTCCAACTCTGACAAAGCACCTCATTCCTGACTTGTAGGCAAGAAAATGCCAGTAAGTTGAGTGTTGGGCCTCACTGTTTGGCCAATTAGCAATTAAACATCTTAACACCAATTGGCAAATATTCTCCCCTACATGCACAATCCTGTGCAGGGTCAGATAACAAGGTAACACCTTACAGCACAGATCCAACACCACCACCGATAACACTATTCCACAGCAGCCAGATCAACCAAGCGGACCAAAAGCAATCTGAAGCAGCTTTCCTTGAGGGACATATGTGTTAGAACACTGGCAAACACAAAAATTTCCAAACGTCAAGAACTGAAATTAACCAATCAAATGCTATATTTGTTTGGGTTCATTATCCTGGTGTGAAAGTAAATGCTGCAATTCATGCCTATGACAGACTGCTACTAAAAATCTTAACAATCCCACCAGCAATTGGTGATCACCTGGTAGACCCCTCCACTGTAAGAGTCTCTACTCAGCAGTAGCACCACCAGGAGAAGCTTGAGCACATTCACAACTTTCAATGCATTCACACTCTGGAACATACTACTACCATAACACTACTGCTATATCTCTCACCACTGCCAAGTCAAGTCTATGCCTCTTACATGTCATGCTTCCTCAAACAAGGAAAAAGTTACAAGCTCTAATACTAACTAGGACTGTCAAGCTATAAAAAACTTAATTGCGCTATTAAACAATAAGAGAATACCATTTATATAAATATTTTTGGCTGGAGTTATCATAGGAAAAATGGGGTTGGTATGGAATTGTATTAAAAGGTTCCAAACTCTGTGTCATAATCCACAGACTTCCATACCACAGGCTCTTCAGTCTCACCTATTGAGCTAGAGGCTCAAGGCAAGGCTCCCTTTTCCCCATTATTATGATTTAGTCTAGGGCTTTCTAGGCCTCGTGACAGTTGCACTTGCTTTCTGTAACCAGGGGTAGCACAGCTGTCTGAGCTGCTCCCCAGAGAGGAAGCACACTGCTCCTGTAGCTGCAGGCTTGTGTTCAAAACCAGCAATGTTCCACACAAAGAATATATCTACACATCAGTTAGAGGTGGGATTGCAACATGTGTAGACAGACATACCTCAGCTGGCATTGATTGAGCTCAATGGAAATGTTTACACAGCAACTAGATACCTGCACCTGGCCCATGTCAGTCAACTTGGGCTCCTGGAGCTCAGGCTGCAGGATTGTTTGATTGCTGTGTAGACTTCCAGGCTTGGGCTGGAGCCCAATCTATGTATGCTCCAGTCACACTTCTGATTGCAGTGCAGACAGACCTTAGTTAATGTTTCCTAGTGGGAGGTATACACTGCATGCTCCCAGTGATGATTCCCCAGTTATGTTGAGAGCTATCAGTGACCCACTTCCTCTGAGCTCTTCATCCATCCATCCCTGCTGCATTTCATGCCCACAGGGGCATACTGAGGACAGGGTGTCTTCCCAGGTTGGTAATGGCTGCATTGTGTACTGTAATATTTAAGGCTGAGCTTTGCGAGATGGGTCTGAATTGCTAACATGTTCTGCCATCTTGTGTCAATTCACTTAAGAGACACTGGTTAAGTTTAAAAGTTTAATGTATATTCTTACTTTGTTACTAACTCTTGAATACAAAAATTGAAACAATTGTAGAAAAATCTGGATTACTTTCTATCACTTTTTTGCAGTTCATCAACCTTGGACTAGATCATTTAACTTTTGGAAACATCCTATTAGGGCAAGGCCCCTTGAGTTTATACTGCACCTGCCTTGGGCTCTAGGGCACAGTTGCCAACTTTCACACAGTAAATAAGCACCCCGACTTTCACAATAAGCCAAAAATCAAGCTAATCCCATTTCAAAACAAGGCCAAAACAAGCCAATCCCCAAGAACCCCAACACTCTATGTGACTAAATCCCCCTGGTGTGCAGTCTAGGACTGTGGTGGGCCTGCTGTGTACCCTTGACTCTTTCCCCCCCTCTTGCCCCTGCTTGATAGGAGCTGATAAAAAAAAAAAAAGAAGCAACAAGCTACAAGCCAAAAACTAGCCATCAAGCAACTCACAAGCCAATTAAGACAAAAACAAGCCCAATTTCTGTGTTTTTTTTCACAGGTAAAGTAACTTGTTTATATCAGGGTATAAAGATGTATCTCAGAGAGAGTATCTTTGTCCAGCCGAGAGGTGAATGGGAAAGTCCTGCCATTCACTGAGCTTGTCCATTGTCACTGGCATACATGTCATAGTATCCTCGTAGAGTCTGCCAGGTGCTATTACCGTGCTTTGTCAACAATAAACCTGTCCTGACACCTTTGTACGTTAACAGATCTTGTGGTCATTGGGCGGTTCACTCGAGGTCTGCTGTGTCAGCTGTCTGCGTACAGCTGGGGCAGCACACAGGGAGAACACATGCAGCCGAACATATAATCACAGATAACACTGGCAATAATTAGGGGTGTTGTTATGTCTAATGCGCTTTGGAATCTTTTCTCTTTATGTCTAATAAAGGTTATTTGTTTTGTTAAGGAAAGTGAAGTAGGTGTAGGGTGACCGGATAGCAACTGTGAAAAATTGGGATGGGGGTTGGGTCTAATAGGCCCCCATATAAAACAAAGCCCCAAATATTGGGACTGTCCCTATAAAATCGGGACATCTGGTCACCCTAAGTAGGTGCTTTGTGATTCAGTGCACAATATTATTTGCTAAATACATCACTAGAGTTCAAGAGCTTCAGCACTAATGTGGAAATGAGCTGTAGCATATGTAAAATAATCAATAAAGATTTCAACCGTCTAACATGGCTTGCAATATGTTCTAATGGTCCCTTGTGCCATGAAATTGAAGTCAGCTAAATTCACACTGAGGGTAATTAAGCATTGCAACAGATTACAAAGGAATGTGATAAATTCTCCATTTTAAATCTTTAAATCAGGACTGGTTACGTTTCTTAAAGATATACTCTTGTTCAACTAGTTAATGGCTAGAAATAGGCAGGAATCAGTTGGTGTATTCTTTGGCCTTTTTTATGCAAATATCTCAGAGTAGATGATCATTTGAATCCCATTTGAAGGCCTGTTTTATCTGCTATTTAATTCAAGGTATTGATTTTGCCTTGCTTCTTCCATAGTGCTCAAAAGTAAGATGAGCAAAAACCAGGTTTCACATTCACACTTTTGTTATTGAATTCTACTTTATTGGACCCACTTCTGAAAGACAAAAAAAAGTAAATTACAAGATAGCCAATAAAGTACTAATGCTCCATGTCCAT